CGTGTATATAACCACAATGCCTGGCCCACAGCAGCCAGACGACCAGGAAGACGACACAGACAACCAGGAAGAAGACGACGACCAGGAGGGCCTGAAGAGCTGAAACACTGCACAGTCTCCAGACAACTCTGAAGACCCTGAAGAGCTGACACTGTATCGGCTCCAGACGACCTGGGAGACTCTGAAGAGCTGTAACACTACATCGTCTCCGGATGACCCTGGAGAGCTGTGACACTGCGTCGTCTCTGTGCTGCTCACAATAGATGATGCAACCCTGAAGAGTTGTAACACTGCGTTGTCTCCGTGCTATACCTTGCTGCCCACAATAAACAGACAACACTGAAGACACTGTGTCATCTCCGTGTTGTAACACTACGCCACTTGTCCCGGCTCTCACTCCTTCACTCAGGAAACCTGTTCGACTGTCCCCCGGGTCGGGACACATACGACCTGCACCAGTTTCTCTTTTTCAATTACGTCTCCCCTTCCTCTGTTCTCTTACCTTCTGGTATCTCTGCAGGCCACTCCTCCTCTGGCCAGAGACTGACAGGATTTGCTTGATTCTGAAAAGTAACTGGGGCTGGGAACCAGCAGTTAGCGTAATGGCTATGTCGCTGGACTCCCATGTAGTCGACCGTAGTTCACGTCCCGGACCCGTGGCTTAAAACTCACGCCGGGCGCATGTGCATGCGTGCCCAAGATCCCAAGAGGAGAACGGAGGAGAAGGGATTGCGGCATGACCATCCCCCCTGGGGGGTGATTTCTCACTTTCTATCTCTGTCTCTCTGTCTGGCGAGTGTACGTGCCCTATAACGAAAATCTCTCAAAAAAAAAAAAAAGTAACTAGGGCTAGCTTACTCATTGGTCCAGTAAAACTGAACTAACTCTGAACACAAAGCTCCAAAACCAGGTTCCCATGCTAATAAAGGGAAGGACTTCCCTGGCTGGTGTCATCGCTCTCACACTTGGCACAATAAGAGGCAGCCTGCAAGGAGCGTACTCAGGCTAGCATTCTAAACACCTTCTCCTTCTCTGTTGCTTCTCACACACCAGTAGTGAGGCCAGAAAAAGTGAATACCTGGGCTCTCTACAAAAGTTGAGAGAGAAAAACAGTGCCGCCTCAGGCCAGCCCAAGGCTGGTGGTTAAGGCAAATGGATCCTAAGTAGCCGACTGCACAGTTTGAGTCCCCAAGAGAATGGAGGAAACAGAACTGTGGGGTAGCCATCCCCCCTGGGGTGTGTGTTTCTACCTTCTCCCTGGTGAGTGCATGTGCCCTAAGACAAAGTAGGAGGAAAAAAAACATTGCCTCTTGCACAAAGTACAGAGTTGAGTCAACGTTGCCATGATCCATTTTTTGTAATTTATGCTCACTGCCATCTAGCTAATTCCTAGAAGCAATCCTTGGCTGGAATGGACACAAGACTATCTGAAATGAGTATCTCTGAAATACTGAATCTCCACAATGACCAAGCTATTACTCTGTTACCTCTTAGATTCAAAACATACTATGCTCAAGCCTACCACCAAACCGTCCTCTGAAAACATCCCTATTTCAGGTGACGCAGGCCTCTGGATTTTGAAACAACAATGTATTCCCAACACTGGGTAATGGCTGTATTCCAAGTGCCATATGAATAATCTGACTCAGTAGGAAAGTTGAAGAAGCCCTGAGGCTAGGTCTTAGCCATTACACCAAGTCACTTTTTAAACGCCTCACACACACAGTACTAAGGACACAGAAGGTGCTGGATCTCTGTCTAGTTTTAAAAACATTATGGCTATCCTCTACATACAGTTTAACACACTTTAGGGTGTGTGACTAGTGACTACAGCATTTAGCTCTGAAAACAAAGCCCATCGGCATAAAACTACGTAAGTTGATACACAAATACTTTATTCTCAAATTCATATCCGATGTGTAAACGCTATCTGTGTAACTTCATGGTCCCACTGTGATTCTCTAGACGTGGAACAAGACAGACAAAAGCATATGCATGAAGTAGCTGGTGAATGTCTATGACAAAACTGATTCTTCACCGAAATGACAGTTTCGGTTGCCAAAGTGAAATAAATGTATTTGCATATATTTGGAAATAAATTATCGGTACCATGTATTGGGCACTTGCGCCCTGATGAGGACAGGACTTTAGTTATCCACACAAATACCTGAAACACTCCTGGACTTTGTTTTATGTCTAAAAGAGCAGTTACAAGCAATTATTTATATGCTGAATCATATCCTCATAATTAAAAAAGCAAGCTTAAAATAATATGACCTCAAAAGTGTTTTTAAAATCATACATAAGACTATGTTAAGAAGGCAGGGCGATGACAGCTACTTGGGAAGTTGGGGCAAAAGGACTGTGAGTTTGAAGCCAGCCAGGGCAAAACACATGAGACTTGGTCTCTAAAAAATGTCTAAGAAAGGGATATGCTGAGAGACTGGCATGCAGTGGTGAGCTGATATCCCCACTCTGCTGGAACCGGTAAAGGAATTTTCAGTTTTCATTTACCTCATGAGGAAAAAAAAAGTTCTAAGCTCCAGATCAAAATAATTGATTCCTATGGCTCTGAAGCAACAAGAGATCTATTTAGTGGGGCTGTTGTGTGAGGCACAAGGGGAGGAAACATTTGACGGATGGGAAAATGTAAAGCTCTCTGTAGGACAGAAAAAAATATATATGTATACTATATATATATATATACACATATATATATACACACACATACACACACACACATATATATATATATTATATACACACACATATATATAGTATACATCATGATGGGGACTTAATGGAAAATGTGAAATTAATCTGAAAATAAATTTTAAAAATAAAAAATTCTTGGACCAGCCCATGGTGGTTAAGGCAGCTGGATCCCACATGGCTGACTGCCCAATTTGAGTCCCAAACCAGGCAGCTGGAAAAATATGCTGGGCACATGCCCAAAATCCTGAGAGGAGAGAAACAGAGAAGGAACTATGGTGTGACCATTCCCCATGCAGAATTTCTCACTTTCCGTCTCTGTCTTTCTCCAGTGAACATACATGATTTCTGGCTTTTTTTTTTTTTTTTTTTAATTTTCATATTCCAAGAATAGGAAACAGAGAAAACAGGTGCTTTATTCAGCTATTCACTGTAGGGAATACTTACAACCTGGTCACTGAAACACACATTTCATGGTTCATCCCTGGAATGTGGGAATAGCTACTATATAAAATACTGCTTTACCATTACACTTGTAATAATGGGCATTTTAGAGGCAAGACAGTGGAGCAGGGCAAAACATGGTGTTCTGGGACGGTTCCTACTTTGGATCTGGAAACCTCCCTACATATGCTGGACACGTGTGTATTCATAATCTGAAGCTGGTGGAGGCTAGGGGTGAATAGTGGTGTGAAGACCCTGTTGGGAGTGTGTACACACATGCGTGCTCTAAGAAATAAATAATAAACTCTAAAAAAAAAAAAAAAAAGAATAGGCTCTTCACCTATACAGAATTACACAAAGCTCCTCACTGGGAACAACTTTATCCCTAAAACAGAATGGTAAAGCCGCAGACTTGGTTTTTCCCTATAACTTGCTTGGAGAGAAATTCTCTCCATCACTCTCCAGAGCGTTTCACAAAATGCAAATAACTTCAAGCAGACCAAAATTACATTCAAACCTGCTTTCAAAGTACCCATAATGAGGACCAGTGGTCTGGTGATTAAGGCAGGTGGATCCCACATGGTTGACTGAACAGTTCATGTCCGAGACCCAGCAGCTTGAAAAACCCAACACGGGCATGTGCACAAAATCCCTAAAGGAAGGAGAGATGGAGGAGAGGGACTGAGTATGCCTACACCCCAGAGGGTTGCTTTTTAACTTTCCTTCTCTCTCAACAGTGAACACATGTGCCCTCTAGCATATGGAAAAAAAAAAAAAAACAAAAAAAACCAAAAACGAAAGGAAAAAAAAAAAAAAAAAAAAAAAAACCAAGTAGCTACAATGAATACTCACTCCAAAAAAAGAGACCAAAGTAGCAGATATTCTTTTTTTCTTTGCAGGATTATTTATTTAATTTTATTTATCACTATTATTATTTTTCGATTTACTACATGGCACGTGCAATCACCAAACAGAGAGAGAGGGAAAGTGAGTGGGAGTCCAGCACATTAACCACCATGCCACCTGCTGGCCCCACTATTTAATGTTTTAGGAGAGGGCACAGAACAGGATAACTTTTTGTTTGGTTTTCGGTTTGTTTTTTATAAACAAGACTTCAAATTTCGCTTTTCTCTTGAGTTTCCACTGACAGGGTCTCATCTGAGAGGTCAGGATAGGCCAGGTGGCAGTTACCCTCTGGAACCTTCCCATGTGGGTCTGCCCGTTTCACTGCTATCCCACAATCTGGCTCCTTCCTTCACATTCGGTTTTACTCAACTCTGCAATTCAATTTTAGGTGGTGGTCTCTGATAGATTCTCTCAGGAACATCAGGCTAAAGAAGAGCTTCTGGAAGCAAAGGTTTTTAATTTGTGGGGTTTTTTCCCTTTTCTTTTTTATGTATTTATTCATGATACAATTCCCTTTAGTCATTTCCTCAGTTTCCAATTTGATTTTACTCCTATCTGCTCTCCTGCCACTATCCAGGCCTGTTACTCAGTAGCAGGTTATTCCTGACGTGCATCATTCAGCATGAACCTGTGTCCAATTTTAAGCCATTTTTTCTTTTCTCAAATATCGTCATATAAATACACTCACTCAAATTTGAAATGTTTCTCATATCCACTGATGGTATTACAATAAAATATTTAGTCTTAATGAATAGTTAGTTATAAAGAACTGCTAAAGGGTAAAAAGTGTTCTTAAGAACACTTAAGTGAGCTTAAGATCGATAAAGAAAAAAAAAAAAAAAAAAAAAAAACCAAGTAGCTACAATGAATACTCACTCCAAAAAAAGAGACCAAAGTAGCAGATATTCTTTTTTTTTTTTCAGGATTATTTATTTAATTTTATTTATCACTATTATTATTTTTCGATTTACTACATGGCACGTGCAATCACCAAACAGAGAGAGAGGGAAAGTGAGTGGGAGTCCAGCACATTAACCACCATGCCACCTGCTGGCCCCACTATTTAATGTTTTAGGAGAGGGCACAGAACAGGATAACTTTTTGTTTGGTTTTCGGTTTGTTTTTTATAAACAAGACTTCAAATTTCGCTTTTCTCTTGAGTTTCCACTGACAGGGTCTCATCTGAGAGGTCAGGATAGGCCAGGTGGCAGTTACCCTCTGGAACCTTCCCATGTGGGTCTGCCCGTTTCACTGCTATCCCACAATCTGGCTCCTTCCTTCACATTCGGTTTTACTCAACTCTGCAATTCAATTTTAGGTGGTGGTCTCTGATAGATTCTCTCAGGAACATCAGGCTAAAGAAGAGCTTCTGGAAGCAAAGGTTTTTAATTTGTGGGGTTTTTTCCCTTTTCTTTTTTATGTATTTATTCATGATACAATTCCCTTTAGTCATTTCCTCAGTTTCCAATTTGATTTTACTCCTACCTCCCCCCCTGCCACTATCCAGGCCTGTTACTCAGTAGCAGGTTATTCCTGACGTGCATCATTCAGCATGAACCTGTGTCCAATTTTAAGCCATTTTTTCTTTTCTCAAATATCGTCATATAAATACACTCACTCAAATTTGAAATGTTTCTCATATCCACTGATGGTATTACAATAAAATATTTAGTCTTAATGAATAGTTATAAAGAACTGCTAAAGGGTAAAAAGTGTTCTTAAGAACACTTAAGTGATCTTAAGATCTCGATTTTTCTGTGCTCTATGTCCTATTAATGTAGTAACTGCATTTCAGTAAGATCAAGTCCAAATATTTTTCCTTTTAAACTATACCTTAATATGACATCATTAAGAAAAAAATTTCCAATTACTGGGAGACAAAAAAAGCCTTTCAATTCCCTTCATGAAATGACACTTTCAGACCTGAAGCATAAATTGCACCATGCAAAGACTAATTCCTCCTCTTCCTAATCATTCTTAGGAAGTTTCCTTGTATAAAAGAAAAGTCCTAAATTATCAACAGATCTTTATGTGTACCCGCACACACACGAATACACAAGAAAGTCCACGGCCTCTTCCTTCTCTTCGCTCTACTACCGTAATGACGTTTCCAAACATCTGGCGAAATCCAAGGGTGACTCTGTAGCAACTTCACTGCAATGTCTTTTGATGAGTTGATTTAAATCTTCATTCAAAAGTGAATCCCCCTGTAAAACTTTATCCTGGAAAAATATTAAAAGCAAGAGTTAGAAGTCTCTTTTGCTATTAGCAATAGCCAAGCTGTGTGCAAAGCTGAAAATGATAACAGCTGATACCAACAAGTATAATAATGACAAATGCCTGGTTAGGTCATAGGCGCGGCCTAACTGAACGAAACAGTGTCAGGACTATCTCTATAAATGCCAACAAGACATCTATCCTACCAACTCCTAAACATGGAGGGGAAAAAAAACACCTCTTAAACAATTAAGCAAGCTGGAATTATAGGTAAGAGAGATGTTCGAGACCGGCAGTTGGCATAATGGCTATGTCACTGAACTCCCATGTAGTCAACTGCGGTTCAAGTTCTGGATCTGGTGGCTTAAACTCACGCCAGGCACGTGTGCGTGCCCAAGATCCCGAGAGGAGAATGGAGGAGAAAGCACTGCGGTGTGGCCATCCCTCCCCCTGGGTGATTTCTCACTTTCTGTCTCTGTCTGTCTCTGTCTTTCTGGCGAGTGCATGTGCCCTATAGCAAAAACCTTTCCAAAAAAAAGAGGGATGTTCATTTGTTTTTTATTTCTTCTTTAAAAAAAAAAAGGAAAAGTTATCGCATACCTTCTTTTTAGAGTTTGAAGATTCAACTGGAGGATTAAATGTCATTTCCGCCATACTATACGCCTCAAAAAGTTCAGCAGCAGATCTATAATCACAAATACATGGCACGTAAAGTCACTACATATCTGTGTGATTTGAAAATAATTAAATTGTACCCAGAGAATGACTCATTATTCAAAACCCATTTATTAAGGTATAACATTCCTGC